GAGGGAGGGGGAACAGAATCTGCTTTCCTGGCAATAACGCGTGCCGCTTGGAAAAGGGCCAGCTGCAGATTGCAGCATCACTCCGCTTGAACACCACAGGCAAGCGGAAAGGCCGCCGCCGTGCGTGAGCAGGGCGACTACCGTATTATGCGGAACGACGTCCTGTGCAGAACAACGCCACTCACCCACTCTTGAACCCACCCGCGACCGCGCCCAGACCCAGCCCAACCCCCCAGCACACCAAGGCTCGCATCCCAGTCTCAACTAGGGCCCCATCCATCGCACCTGATGGCCATGGCGAAGGCGTATTCCGCCACGACCGTCTTGCCCGCACTCGTGTGTGCAGCCACCAGCACATTGTGCCCTGCAGGGAATGAAATGATCAAGGGGGTGGGGCGCACGCGGGCATGCAAATCAGTGCAAAAAGCTCACTGCGCTACACGTGGTGACCAGCACCATCCTAGGCGGCCCCCTGATGCCGTCTGGTGCTCTTGCCTCGCTTGTTGTCCCCTCATCCCCCCCCTTTTGCTGCATCACTCCGCCTGCCTGTCACCCCTCAAGCTACACGGCGCAGTCCCATCCCGCCGCTGCCCCCCTCCACCCACCGGCCTCCAAGCAGTTTATGGCCGTCTGCTGGAAGGGGTCCAGGCTGAACGGGTAGGTCCGCGCGGGCGGGCCAGGTCGCGGGGCTGGGGGCAGCCTGCTGCGCTCCTCCTGCCCGCTGCCGCCCTCCTGCGCTGGCGGCCACACCACCTGCAACGTGTGCACACGACATCAGGACCGTGTCGGACGGCCCCGTGCTGCATGCGTCCAGGCGGCAGGCAGGCGCCGTGCAGTTGTATGTTCCAGTCCCACCTCAACCCACCCCGAGCCTGGAACAGGTTCGCCAAGAGGTGCCCCCCCCCCTCGAGCATTCTGCCCTGCCAGCCCCTGCCGCCAGCAGCGCCAAAAGTCAAGGCCGAGTCCGCATGGGGTTCCACTCCACACCGCCGCCTGCACCCCGTCACCGCGCCGCCTGCCTGGAATCACTGCCAAAAGCAGCGAGCAAGAACCGCAGGCTGACGTGACGCGCAAGGCACAGTGCGCGGGGCCCCACTTCCGGGGTACCAGCACTGAACGGGTCCCGATGCGTAGCCCCACCCCACCTCATGTGTGCAGCTCTTGCCGTTAACCTCAATCAAGTTCACATCATGACCGCTGGGCTTCCACACGACATCCTCGCCCAGCAGCTTGGGCCGCTTGGCGGCGCGCCCCTCGCCGTCCGCCATCGCTGCCGGTGCCGCGGTCCAGGCCCCGCCGTCCGCGACAAGCCCCACACCACGTTTCCTTGCTCCTGCACGTTGGGGCCACACGGGAGCCAGTGATATGTATCGACGCTGCTCCGGTCAGGTCATGATGCACGGAGCGTTGCGTGCCGCGACTGGACTCTGTGCCGGGCGGCATAGCAGCGGCTGCACACCAGCATGCGGCGGCCGCTGCTGTGCTCGACGCCCCTGAAAGCTGCGCGCCCTTTGCGCTCCAGAAGCAGCCGCCACATACCTTTTACACTCGGGTATAGTTACTTGTCCTCTTCAAGCAAGCCCGACCCTCGTCGACGTCCCACACGTACAATATCTTTCTTCACGCAGTGTTGCCGACGCACAAGGGACTCATCGATCCGCTTCGCGTTCAGGTGGATAAACAATTTGGTTTGCACACGAGCTGACCGCGCTCTGCAACGCGCGCAGCGATGGCGGCCAACTGATGACTGACCCCGGGTGACTGCAGGCCGTCACGCGCATTGTGCAACGCACATACTGCAAATTGACCTGTGTACCCGTATGCATAGGAACCTTCGCTACAGCTGTCGCGCATGTGTGCGATACAGCCGCCCGACAGGCACACGATGGCGGGCACGCACAACGGCCTGCAGGGGCATGTAGACCAGACTGCCAGCCGTGTGAGTGCGGTTCTTACGTGATTATATTCGAGGTGAGCATGGTCCTGTGCTTCCAAACACCTTCTAGGCATTCAATGGCAAAACAGACTTTACGGATTTACATGCGCCACCTTGCCGATTACAGAGTACGGTACTGTATGAGGAACACAGTGTCAGCCCTCTGCTAGAAGGCTCACTTCGTAAGCGGCCCACATATGTGTTGGGCAATCACAGACACTCCCAAAAATACTTGACAAGTGTGTTGGCTGAATCGTAGGTGCAAGCCTGGTAGAGAGTGTTGGCAGCCTGGTGTTATGATATTCTGCATCCAGATGATTAAAATGGGCCACAGCGCCCAGGGCTCCCACTTGGTGGCACGGTATGGGGCGGTGTGCATGCCTTTGTCCTGTGAACTGCTACATGTTCCTTACAGCAGTAATCTGACGCTTGGCACACGCACTGGCTAGCCACGTGAGCCCCTGGTTCGAGATGGCAGTGGCATGCCACAGCGAGATCCCTGGGCACATGTGCACCGTGAAATCAGCCCTGACCGCCATGGCATGCGTCGGTGCTTTGTTGATGACAAGTTCGCTGTCTATCATACCTCACGGCGGCTAGCCGCTGCAACGTACGCTTGAGCAAGCTAAAAAGAAGGAAACCGCACCCAAGCCGGTCCATGACAAGCGCTCGGCTGCTGATCACGCCATTCAAATGCTTGCATGCGTTCTTACAACCTTGAAAAGTCACTTTCACTTGTGGACGTCCCATTTGTCGACCTCACGCTCGCCTGCCCGTCGTTGATGGCGCGGCCAGGCGAGCTCTCTGACATTGAAACGAGTAGCGGGTCTCCTAACCAGGCGTAGGTCCGGACAGGACTATGGCCAAAAAGTCTTGTACACATGCCCTTTTCATGTTGCTCTACATCCTCTCGACAGGTCGGTCGCGTGCAGCGCCCACGACCCGCTGCAGCCATGCGCTGCACTGTGGTGTGCACGGCGACGGATGCCCGCCATGCGCCGAGTCTGGGAGCCGACTCCGCACCACCATGCTTCACAGGATTCACTGTTTGTTCGCAGGCGCTGACGCTACTCGGACCCTGAGGCAGGACGTGTATACGCGCTCCAGTTTGGGGAGGAACCCCCTCAACAGGCAGCATGTCTACGCCCAGGCCCATGAGGTGCGGCCTGCACTCGTGGTGGCGCCGGCGGCGGCAGCAGCAGCGGCTACCTATGGTATGGCCCATGACAGAGAGCCCTCGTGCCCCCCTCCAAGTTGCGCCACCATTGTCACCATGTCTTTCATCGCCCCCTCCCACTCCCCCCACGACTCAGGCTGAGTCCCGGGCTAACCCTACCTCTACTGGCATATTCCACAACGAAGCCACCATGGTGGTGCAATCAGGAGACTTGCTGCCTGCGCCCCGCAACAATGTTGGCACGCACAACGCAGAGCAGGTTGGGTCCCTGGGTGCAGCCGAGACTACAGGGGGCGGGTGGGACGGGTAGATCGGGTGGACCCCTGCAGGGACTGCGCTGGGGCCTGATGCCCCCATGGTTCCAGCCTGCGCGTTCCAGCCTGCAGGGCGATGCGAGGCCATTGGACCTTAGGTCGTTGAGGAGTGCCCTCCCTCGCTCGTTGTGCCCCACTCGACTGCCCTGTAAGCGTTGCCCTCACCCGCTGACGGCCGCCCTGCATTGAGCCCAGGCGACAGGCCGGGACAGGGCCTCTGGTGGGCCCTACGGCGTCTTTGTCAATGCTTTTGGAGTTGTAGCCACTGCCACCACCAGTACAAGCGGGGTCAGGTGCGCGATTGGCTCACTTGTAGGGGCCCTAAAAAAAAGCACCTTGGCCACATGGGCGGGTGTGGGTTGCAGAACAGCGCCCAAATCAGCAGACATAGCTGCTTTCTGCTGTAAACAAGCGTGTTGACCGAGCGTTGCGTCACTTGTTGCTCCCTGCCACCGCACGCGTTGTCACCGTGCTTCCTCATCGCAGTGAGCAGCCTTGGCACCACCCTGATCTCACCTCCGGCAACCACAGGGCCGTTTCCGCCTCTGAAGCTATGCCCGCGCAGCCCGACGTCGGACCCACTGGCTGGGCCAAGGCCACCAACTCAGTTGCGTTTGACACCAACCCCCTCAGGAGGGGTGTGGGCGCCACCGGCCAGGCTTTCACAGAAGCAGTCGGGGCTAACAATCTGCCGCCACTGGCGGTGGGGATCAGCCAGGTCGGGGGCGGGCCCATCGCAATTGCCGCAGCAGGCGTGGCTGTGGCCGTTGCCAACGCGGACACCCCCTCAAATGGTGGAATGCAGTGACGTGCCTCGCTGCAAGAGCAGTGACACTGCGTATGCGGCTGTGCCCTCAGCATCAATGGCGCCACCTCTCCAAGCATGCAACCTGCACATTATTGCACACATTGTCCTTGCCTCATGGTGATTGATCCTAGAAGCAAATCCTGACATGGACCATCACGCTGCGGATCGCGGGAACTCTGCACTGGCGATGCGGCCCCCCTTGAGTGACATGTTCAAGCCCTGCCCGGAGTCGCATGAGCTAGAGTATGTGTTCCACCTGGACAAACGCACCGACATATACGTGCCGGCTGAGCTTTGCGCATGAGATGGCGAGCGAGCAATTGGTGTTTTTTTGCTGGGAATGTTGGGGTGTGTTCATTCAAACGGCGCGGGATGCCTGTGGGGGCTTCCAAACAAATCCTGGCCCAATCAAGATCTTTCTCTCCCCTTCCCCCCTTCCTTGGGCTTGCCATGTGAAGCGCGCCCCTTCATGCATTCGGTGAGTCCTTATCAACTTATTGAGGTGTGAACAGGCTGAGATTGCCTGCATGCACAGTGCATGTCCACTGGCAGCGAGGAGGCCCAGCGGGGCGCGGTGCTTGAGCCGGCAACTACTGAGCAACCATGGAATTTGCAAACCAATCAAGAGATGGTTGGTTGTTCAAACGGCTTTCTTGTGTTGGCATCCTAGCATCTGCTGAGTACAGTAACACTAATCGTCACAGAATAGGTTTCCTCGCCCTTGCACACTTGCTGCTGATGCTGCCAATCAATCGCCCGCCGAAAGGACGCGCACGCGCGCGCGCACATTCACACACACACACACACACACACACACACACACACACACACACACACACACACATTCCAAGATGTTTGTTTGTGTCTCCATCACCCATGTGACTGACCTGTGTGGGGTTCCAATGCTGTTGGGCACTCCGCGTCCGCGTCAACCCCATGAGCCAGCAGCGCACATGCGCGTGCTGTGCGTGAGCAACCTTGTCAGCGTGATCTTTCGAATTACCCTGCATGATGGCCCTCACCCCCCACTGACAACATATTTTATAAATCCAGAGAATATATCAACCACCTTGTGAAAGGCGCGTCGTCAGCTGCCCCTGGCATCAGACTTGCGCTGAAGCGGACGGCGCCGTACAGGGACGGGTCGGCTGACGGCGCTGGCCAGGGTGCGGCTGCCGCTTGATCGGGAACCCGTGCGCAGCAGGTACAGTGGTGTTGTGCATCATGCGCATAATGATGCCCGCATTTACCTTGCCGCTGTGCCACAGCGCATCTCGGCGAGGGTTGATCAGTTGACACGTATTCGCACTCGTCCGTTGGCAAGTGTGTACGGCACCAGGCATCAATTTCGGAGTGCGCACGTTTACGGGGAGTCAAACAACAGTAGTTACGGGTACACATTGACTCTTTGAGGCAGTGCGGTATCTTCCAGAGGTGTTTCGGAGGGTGTGCGACACTGCGTCGTTTAATACTGTATAAGTGAGGAAGGTGCCGGGTACGAGACACGTAATGGTGCACGTACTTATCAAATTCATGCCAGAGTGACCTGGCGATTGCCTTCGGGGATCGGGGTCGGCGTCGTGATGCACCAACTGCACGTGCCGTTGCTGTTGCATCCAACTGTAATGCTCTTTCTCAACTCTGTGAGGCTGAATGACCGCCATTTTGCTGTGGCCGGGCAGGCACAGATTCACTGGTGCCCGCTGGTCTCACCACAAACCCAGGTGTTAGCTCAACAATCGCTAACCATCAGCAGCAGGAGAGCGCAGTCCCAAGAGCCATGGCGACCAAATCCAGGCCCAACATTCTCTGGTGGGTTACAACTGCCAGCATTTGAAACCCATGCTTGAAGCCGTTGATCTAGTGTATGCGTTGAACTGCAAGCGTGACAGACCGCACGCACGAACAGCGGTGCCGCTAGCTGGTGTCTTGCCTTACCGAAACACTGTTTCACCAACTTTGGCGAAACCATTGTTCCTGGGTCCCAGTGTATGGGGGGACGACATCGGCGTCGCCAACCTGTCATGCTACACCAACGGCATCATGGGGTGAGTCAGCATCGCATCGGGTGGGACCGCAGGAGCAGCGTCAGCGGGCGGGATCCTCCGTTGCCCCACAGTCTCTGCGCCGGGATACTGTCCTCGCCACCTGACGCGCACTGCTGATCACGTACTGCGTCCCCGCAACCCACCCGCCAGGTACAAAACGCCCAACATCGACCGCGTGGCCAAGGAGGGGCTGATGTTCACGGACGCTTACGCTGAGCAGAGCTGCACGGCGGGGCGCGCGACATTCATCACGGGGCAGAACCCCTACAGGTGTCGTCGGTGATGGATGCGCGTCAGTTTAAAAAGAGGTTTCTTTGACGAGTGGGACGGGGCTGCGGCCCCTTGGATGGTTGTGAGTCAACAAATCAAAGAGCTGGTGGTGCTTTCTAGCAGTGCGCTAGCGCGCTGCATAGACCTGACTCTTGACCTCGTGGAACCTTGGACCATGCATATGACTCAGCCGCGTCGGACTCGCTTCCATCCCCTTCGCAGCAGGAGGCATCGTTGACCCTGACACCCCCCAGTGTCTCAGCGTGCGCCGCGCACCCTGCGCATGCCCGCAGGACGGGCCTGACCAAGGTGGGCATGCCCGGGGCCCCCATCGGCCTCAGGCCCGAGGACCCCACCATAGCCCAGGCACTGAGGCACCACGGCTACGCCACAGGCCAGTTCGGGAAGAACCACCTCGTGAGCTGGCACGGGGCGCACAGTGCCACAGGGGGCACGGCTGGTGGGCAGCAGGGGGACCGGAGCTGAAGCAAGCAGCCCAGGCTGCGTGTTCAGCCTGGGACGGCAAGGCACCGTGGTTCAAGGGACGCGTAGTGCGGGCAGCAGGCTCAGGAGGGGGGCTGCGTGAAGACGTCTTGCATGCAGCCTTGTCCGGGTGCCTTGGCCCTAGCCTAAGTTCCCAGTGCTGCCGGTCGCGCAACAGCGCATGTCATAGCCCCTGGACCAGCCGCTGGCTGGAGCTCCTCCCTCTTTCTACTCAGCACCCACCCTAAACCCTAAACCCTAACCCCCCCCCCCCCCAATTGCTGGCCAGGGTGACCGTGACGAGCACCTGCCCACAGTCCACGGCTTCGACGAGTTCTTTGGTGAGGCAGGGGGCGGGCCGCTACTACTGGTGTGCAGGGGCGCAGGCGCCACCAGGTATCACCTGGGCCCTCTGTCCTTGTCGCCCCCTTCACATGCAGTCGGCGACGTCATTTCCAGCAGAGCCGTGCAAGTGCCCGTGGACCAATTTTTGACTCTCCTGGCTGCCCCTTGCTTCACAGAGCAACACCTCAGACGGGCATACCGCTGCTCCAGCTTACTTCTCACTTTGCACTAAACTCGGCCACCCCTTGTGCCCCCTCCCCCCCCCCTCTGCAGGCAACCTGTACCACCTGAATGCGGAGGAGGAGCCGGAGCAGGACGACTACAAGGCCGCGGAGGAGGCCTTCCCGGGGTTCATGAAGAAGGTGGGGGCGATGGGGGGGAGGGGGGGCGCAGTG